GGGCCCGGCAGGGAGCTCCGCCCGGGCGCCTCGCCCCTCCCCGGGAAGCCGGGTCTCCAGCTTCCCCGGCTCTGCTTCCTGCACGGCGACCGGTTCGCACTCGGCGCGGTTCCTGCAGGGAGAGGTGTGTGGTTTACCTGATTGCACAGCACGAGTACGCAGGGCTGGACACTTGGGCTGAAGGGGACCGACTTCAGCCGGAATCTCTTCCCAAGAGCAGACCTCGTGCAAATAAAACGCCCCAGCAAACTCCATTTCTGGCGCCTTTCTAAAATGTCAACATAGCTCACGGGACTGCCACCCGATTTGGGGGCTACGAGCCTCTGGGCAGCTCGAGTTGAGTTGCGGGAGGGAGGTTGTTTGGAATATTGGTTAAGTCGAAACACTCCAACTACAAAGTGAAAAGGCAGGTAGGCGCACGCCTGCAAACCCAGCGCTTTGGAGGCTGAGGCAGGAGGATCCCCTCAAGTACCAGGTCAGCTAGTCTCAACAAAACAAAGTCAAAAGGCCCAAGTAGTGCGTAGGGGGTCCAAGTGGAGGATTCAGGAAAACGCTTACTTGGGCCGATTGTGGAAATCCTTTATTAGGCACGCGGGGTAGGTGCATTTTATTTGAAGCTCAAGACAAATCAAAAGAACCGGCCCCAACCCTGAGGGTTTTCCGGTCTTGAACTAGCACCCGAGGCCAACATGGGATAGCAAGGAAAAGTGGGAAGCAAAGGGAGCAGGGTCCCCGCTGCCTCGCGCGGTGCGTCTCTGCATCCTGGGGTGACTCGGCGGCCGCGCGAGGACGCTTCCCGAAAGGTGGGCCTGGCCAAGGGGAGGGGCCGCGGCAGGGCTCCTGCTGTTTGAGCGGAAAGGTGTGCGCGCCCTGGGGCGGCTTTTCCGGGGCTCGCTCATTGCCCCCGCCACCTCCGGGCTGCCGCGGGCCCGTCCCTCCCCCGCGCCCGCTCGGGCGCCGCACCCCGGCAGCCCCGCACCCGGGGCCTCACCTCTGGCCTCCTTTCGCCTGACCCTCGGGACCTCCGACCGCGTCCGGGACCTCTAGCCGCCAGCCTCTCCTGCAGCCCCCCTAGCCGCCGTTCACGTCCAGGACCGACCCAGCCCGCGACTCCGCCCCCGCCCCCCGGGGCCCCTCACCCTCCTCCCGCCCGCCTGGCCTGCCCGCGGGGCCGCCGCCGCCTGGTCCCCGCCCCTCGGGCCTCCCCGTGCGCCCGGCCCCTGCCTCTCCATTCATCGTGCCATTGTCTCCCGCCCCTCTCCCCCTCCCCAAGCGGCCTCCTCCCCCGCCGCTGCCACGTCGTGGTTTGAAGGAGCCAATGGGCGGCGCCGCCAGGTGCCTCTACCTGCGCCGCGTGGGGGAGGGGCCGGGCGCGGGGCGGGCAGGTAGAGCCGCCTCCCCAAACAGAGGCGCCTTCGCCATTGCGCGCGCCGGGGTGCAGCCCTGCTCCGGTCTCGCGGACGCACAGGCGAGCGAATACAAAAAGGGCGGCCCCGCGCGCGCTCCTTCCGCCCCTTCCTGCCGGGTGCGCGGCGGCCAGGTGCGGGCTCGGGGTGCGGACCGCCTTTCGCCCGGCGGCCGCGAGCGGGGCGGGCGCTCTCCCTTCGGCTCGCAGCGAGGGCTCGCGGTCCCACCCGCGCGCCGCCGGCCCGCCGCCCTCCGCGCCTCTCGCCATGACGGCGTCTCCGGACTACTTGGTGGTGCTTTTTGGGATCACTGCTGGGGCCACCGGGGCCAAGCTGGGCTCGGACGAGAAGGAGCTGATCCTGCTGCTGTGGAAGGTGGTGGATCTGGCCAACAAGAAGGTAACTGCCCCCGGATGTGTCCCGGGCGAGGAGTTCGTTGCAGGGGGAGGCGAGTGCCCTCGCCTCTGCCCACTCGCGAGCCGGGACCCGCGGCCTAGAGAAGCCGGAGGGAAGCCGAACTTGCTGGCCAAGCGCCTTGGAGCCCTTTTCAGCCTTCGGAACCCGGCCCAGCCTGCCGGGCCGAGACCAGGTGGCCTTCGTGGGCCCTGGGGTCCCCTCGGGGGCCTGGCGAGCTGATCCGGGTGGGGGCGGGGCGCAGAGGGGAGCCCGACCCGCGTCTCTGCCCTCGCAGGTGGGACAGTTGCACGAAGCCCTCGTGAGGCCGGATCACTTGGAGCTGACCGAGGACTGCAGAGAAGAAACGAAAATAGACGCCGACAGCCTGTCCTCCGCTCCGCAGCTGGACCAAGCTCTGCGACAGGTGACAGCCTGGCTCACGCCGCCCACTCCCACCCGACCCGCGAGCCTCACCCCTCGGGCGGCCGCGCGGGCCCCCGGGACGCGGCCGGAGATCACGCGTGGGTGGGCCGGCGGGGCCCCCGGAGGGGGGAGGGCGGGCGCCCCTCGTCGCCTGGGGGCTGGGGCCCAAATTTGCCGTCTTCGAGTTACTACCTCGGTCGCCCCTGGGGCCGGGAGTCGGCGGCGTCTTTCCTGTCGGAGAACGGGGTTGGAATCCGGGTCCGGACCCCAGGCGCGCGGCTCCCGGGTGGGGTTCGCGTCTGCGGCCCGGCCGGGGCAGGGGGCGCTGTGGCGCGCGCGGGGGCCGAGGCGCCCACGGTTTTGTCGCCACCTAGAAGTGCGCGCCTGCTTTCAGCCTCGGGACTCCCGAGCGAGGCAGTGTTCCAGCGCCGCTCCCGACGTGGCGTGGGTCCCAACCCCGGGAAGGGTGTGCAGGTCCGGACCTGTGCGCTGCTCCGCCGGGTCACCGGAGGGCCGGTGGCACCCTCCTCCGGGGTTGAGGTGACCTAGAACCCGGGGCCCGGGTGCTGCGGGCTGCTGCGTGGGGCCGGGCGGGGCGCCCGCACCTGTGCGAGCGTGGGTGAACGCCTGCGTCCCGCGCCCGGCCCTAGCGCGCGAGGTCGGGCCGCAGGAGAAAGTTACCATTTCTGGGTGGTTTCGAGAAGTATCCCCCGCCTCTCCAGAGCTCTGTGTGTCCACTACCCATTTATTTATTTATTTTTAAAATTATAAATGGGTTATGTTTCTTAAACCTGACGCGTAAAAATAAAAAGTCACCCCCGGGAATGATGTAACGTCAAGGCAATCTGCTAGTGAAATGAGATCTCGGATTTGGGTGAATTTGTCTAAAAAATAGAGGGGGTAGGGAAAGGGGAACCGCATTGCCCTACGAACTGGCTTGAAAGCGTCCTTAGGTTTGTGGGGAGTTCGTCTTCTTCCGGGTCCTCGGCTCGATGGGCTCGTATCACCCTAGGGTCCGCGTCCAGAGTTTGCAAACCCGGCGTCCCCGCGTCCCCCTGTGTTCTTTCAGTTTAACCAGTCGGTGAGCAATGAGCTGAATATTGGGGTGGGGACTTCCTTCTGCCTCTGTACCGACGGGCAGCTGCACATCAGGCAGATCCTGCATCCCGAGGCTTCCAAGAAGGTGAGAGTGCCGGCTTCGGAAACAGCGACCGGACTTTGGGGACGGTGGGAGGCTTTTAAGAAACGGTGTATCCAAGTGAATCTCCCTTTTAAAGGCCGCGGGGCGAAGTTACTGTTTAAACGGGTACCAGGTTTCATTTGGAGATTTTCAAAGCTCTGGAAAAGGATGGTGCTAATGTTAAGATGGTACATTTACTGTGACGTGTAGTTTACTGCAATTAAAAATGCATGACAATTGTATGGAGATGTCTGGGATTGTAGTGAGGGGGTTGAACTAAGGTTATCTGTAAATGCAATCTCTTGTTAAATTGTCAAGATTCTTGACATTCCCTCTTTTCCAAAGCTAGCATGGGGGGGCGCTGAATTTTTGATACGTAAAATAAATACAGGAGCCGGGGATATAGCTCAGCAGCACAGCACCTGCCTGACAAGTGGAAGGTCCTGAGTTCAATTCCCACCCCCCCAAAATAAATAAATAAATACAAGTAGGAAAGAAAAAAAGGACTTTAATACATTGTAATAATTCTACTTGTGGATATGCTTTATCCTAAGAAGCAGGGAACAACTGGCCATGGTGGTGTAAGGTTGTAATCCTAGCACTCTGAGAGGCTGAGGCAGGCAAGTTTGAACCCTGGTACTCAAGCTGGGGGTGGGGATCAGCAAAAGGAAGTTAAACTCAATTTTTATGTTGGGATAAGATCTTACTAAATTGTGCTGGGTGGCCTAGAACTTACGACCTGTTTACCTCACCCTTCTGCCTCAGCCTCCCCGGTAGCTGGAATTACAGGCATGGGCCACCATCCTTGGCCCTTTGCTAATCTTTTTGAGTATTGAGTGAGAAAATACACTCTTACCTGGCATAGGCTGTGATTTCTTTCCCTGGGAAGAATACTTATGGGCCATGGGACAATGACAAGCACAGACAGCTGCCCACAGTAGCCAGTCATTGCTAATGCGCCCGCTCTCAACAACTTAAATTAGTTTCAGCTGAACCCTTTTATTGTGGTAGGCGGCATCACAAGAGCTTGAAAAGACGGTATATTTGGGTAGCGGAAGCAGTGTGGATTGGCAATTGATGACATGGGCAAGTGCGGTCAGTGCCGATCTCCTGGAAGAATTGTCTGGAAGTAGGGAAAGCTGTGAATTAGTTAATTGTAAAATTTTAAAAATCTGCCGGGAGAAACTCAACGTTCCACTCCTTTGACAGGAGTCTTAGTAATTATTTGATTTTGTATTAAATGGAAGACCAGTCGCTGTATCCTTGATCCACAAATAGACACGTTTGAGGGTTCCTTCTTCCCCAAAATTGATATGGGGAGGGACTGGATGCCATGCTGTCCTTACTGTGCCGGAGGGAAACAGCTGTCTTGGGTTAGTTACTATAGGTGTCCTGTTTTGGGCTTGGGGGAATCTCCTAAGGAAAGAAAGTTTCCCCAGCCACTTCTCTTACGATTTTCATTAAATCCAAGAAACTAAAACAGTTTAGCAGCGTAACAAAAGTACTTCTGTATATTCACTGACAGACGAAATGACAAAACAGGAAGAAAACAGCACAAGCAATAGAGTAAAATGTTTTTTCCTAACATGAACATATTTGGGTAGAGTCTTTGAGGCTTCTGTAGAAAAGCATTCTTTTTTTAAGGAGTGTTTGTACTGTACAAAAATGCTTAGTACTAATATTTTTTATAACCATCAAGTAGTATTTTAAATAGGTCCAGCTGTTTACATTGACCCCTCATTGCTGTACATGTGAGCTATTGTTGTAACAGCTTTTCAATGAGCTTTCTTGGAGCTGGGGATGTAGCTCAGTGGTTACAGCACCTGCCTGGCAAGTGCAAAGTCCTAAGTTAATTCCTGGCACCTCCTAAAAAAAGAGCTTTCTTGTAGGTAATTGGGAGGATTTGTGATTCTTTTGGTAACGTGGAAGCTAAGACCATGATGCAGTGATCTGATTTCAAATATAGCACAAGCATGTCATTTTTTTTTTAATCAAAATTTTATCTGAGTATTAAGCACCTTGAAATATAAAGTACAGCCAGAGAACTATTACTTCTTACCAGTCATGGATGTTCTAGTAGCTGAATCCCTGTGGTAAGAAACAGAAACTATTCTGGACTTTTTATTTATTTGTATTTGCTTGTTTGATTTTTTTGTTTTGTTTTGTTTTGTTTTTTGGCATCTGGAATGGAACTCAGGACCTTGTGCTGGCCAGGCAGGCGCTTGTGCCGCTGAGCTATGTTCTCAGCCCTTAAGCATGTCATATCTAATAGAATTAAATAGAAGGAATTTGGATAGGTGACATCACTGAATAAATAACGAACATTGAAAAGTCTGTTTCCTTGGTTTTTTAACCTGCAAATGAGTAGAAATTCCTAGTAAGTAAACATAGACTGTTTTGAAACTTTATGAAGTCTATGCCAGGCATGATGGTACAGGCCTGTAATCCCAGCACTCAAGGGGCTGAGGCAGGAGGGACTTTGGTTGAAGGCAAGCCTGGGTTGTTTAGCAAGCTCCTGTCTCAAAAAAAGAACTGAAACCAAAAAAATAAAAATACTGTTTAAGAAATTATCTTTAAGTTATTCAGTAAGGGGTTTGGGGTCACAAAAAATAAATAATGGTGTCATATTTTCCTATACTATTGAACTTCGTTTAGTAACCATAAAAGTGATACTTGTAGGTAAGAACATTAGGTGACCATTTCTCCTTCCCTTTGGGATTTGTTTTTGTTTTTTATTTTTATTTTTTTTGGTTTTTCTCCCGTACCTGGAACCGAACTCACGACCTTGCGCTTGCCAGGCAGGCGCTTTTGCCGCTGAGCTAAATCCCCAGCCCCTGGGATTTGTGATACATATTTTACAATTCTAGTTTGAGTTCTAAGATACAGCCAGAATACTGGGCAGGAAAACTATTATGGGACTATAATTTGGCACAGAAATAATCTTTGTCAGTTAATCAGGTATTTACCATTTTAATCTATTTTACTACAGAAAATATACATTATTACACTTCAACAATAGTTAGACCTACTAAATTTTACAACTTACCTGTGTGAAAACAGATGCCTGAATGCACGGATGGTCTAAAATGAGTATAGCTGGGAAGGTATCTTACACAGATAATATATAGTAAAATAGTACGTAGCAGTCCAGATGTGTTACAGCTTCCAGAACGTTTTCAGCTCAGTGGCACAGTGCCTTGCTTGGCAAGTGCAAGGTCCTAAGTTCGACTTCTGGTACAAAAAAAATAATAAAATGTACCAGAGCGTTTTCAATGAAAATGTATAATGGGACACCAAGATTGTGTGTCTTCCATTCAAATAAAATTTTTCTGTGAGATGTATAGTCAAGATCTAAAACAATAACAGGAGCAACTATTCTAAAAAAACTACTTATATTAAGTTTTATATTTTAAAATATCATGGTAAAATATGCTTGTGTTCAATTCTTAGATTCTTAATTAGTAGGGAGACATTGAATCACACTCACCTACTTAACAGTATCTACCTTGTCCTTCCTCAGAATGTATTACTACCTGAATGCTTCTATTCCTTTTTTGATCTTCGAAAAGAATTCAAGAAATGTTGCCCTGGTTCGCCTGACATTGACAAGCTGGATGTTGCTGCGATGACAGAGTGTATCCTTCAAATGATTAGCCAAGAATCTTTTTGAAAATATTGCTCGGGGGCGGGGGGGAATGACTGACTCAAGAAATTTTTTTTTTTTTTTTTTGGTACTGGCTATTGAACCCAGCACTTTGTATTTGCCAGGCAGGCACTGTGCCACTGAGCTATGTCCCCGGCCCCTTCAAGACACTTCTAAATGCTTTAAACTTTGTCAGGATGTGGATAAAATTGTCCTGTCCAAAATTCGCCTGCACACTGTGTGAGGAGGAGCCAATAGAACAATTATAAGTATCTTTCAAAGTAGCTGTTAAACTGAATTTGTTTATTTAATTTATTGTTTGTTTTGGTACTTGGAATCTAGAACTCAGGGCCTTGTGCTTGCCAAGCAGTCCTTGGACCTGCTGAACTATATCCCCTGGCCTTTTCCTTTCTTGTTTTTGTGGGGAGGACTGTCTTGCTATGTAGTCTAGGCTGGTCTTGAACTCACTATGTAGCCCAGCCCACCTTTTTTTTTGTTTGTTTGCTTTGTTTTTTGTCTTTTTGAGATAGAGTCTCACTATGCAGTTGAGGCTGGCCTTGAACTCACTTTGTAGTCCAGGCTGGCCTCAACTCACAGCGATCCTCCTGCCTCAGCCTCCCAAGTGCTGGGATTACAGGCATAGGCCACTATATCCAGCAGCCCAGCCTTTCAAACTGAATTTATAAACAGTTAGTAGACAGACTTAGACATGGAGTTTTGTGAGGAGATTGCTCTGATGCAGATTGCAAAGCCCTTTGTCCCAGTTACCTTGGTCTTCAGTTTACTTGGGTTGTAGGTTACCTATCTTGCATTACCAGCTGCAGTTCAAGGGTTACCTTTTGACACCCCCCCAACCCACTGCCACCTCAGATCATGGTGGTTTTCTTTTTTTTTCCCTTCCAGTACCGGGAATTGAACTCATGACCTCACACTTGCCAGGCAGGCGCTGTGCCACTGAGCTAAATCCCCAGCCCCAAGATCATGGTGTTTTTGTTTTGTTTTGTTTTGTTTTTTTTCTCCGGTACCGGGAACCGAACTCACGACCTTGCGCTTGCCAGGCAGGCGCTTTTGCCGCTGAGCTAAATCCCCAGCCCCATCATGGTGGTTTTAATAAGTCATCTTTAGGAGTGACAATATGAGGTTGGGATTGTCCTCAGATTATTTACATGCCAAGATAGTATATGTGATGTAGATTCTGTAATCCTAAATCTTAAAATCACGAGTGACCTGCTACATTGCATTTGGATTTTTTTTTTTTTTTTTCCCTCCAGTACCAGGAACCGAACTCACGACCTTGCACTTGCCAGGCAGGCGCTTTGCTGCTGAGCTAAATCCCCAGCCCTGCATTTGGATTTTAAAGTGCTAATGTATCAGATGGGAACCTGCGTCAAAGGAGTTCCCTCAAAGCCACTGTGAGAACCCTTGAGAAGTATGCACTGACAACAAATACTGCAGCTGGGAAAAAATTGGGGCTCAGGCTGTTAGCTGTTAGTAATGCATGCGCTTGTACAAACACGTAAAATTTTAGCAGTAGATAGGGGAAGAAAAGTTCATACGTTATCTTGCAACAACTTAGACAATTTCAGAAGGAAAGGCAATGTACTACAAGTTACTTATAAAGAACCCTGGGACTAGGTACATAGCTCAGTGGCATAGCACCTGCCTGGCAAGTGTGAGGTCCTGAGTTCAATTCCTGGTACAAAAAAAAAAAACAAAACCCCAAAAAAAACCCTTTCCCTAGCAATTATTGGTCAGTGAACTAGTAAAAGTGCCCATGCCTATAAATAGGAGGTTCTGAGGTTTAGGCGTTTTGAATGTGTTGACCGTTTAAAGAAAACTTGTCAAATGTTCATCCATTCTTTTGTCTGCCTCTTAAGATCTTCATGCGTGTAAAAAATGGGGTTATTAGCAAAGTTTTCAAAATGTTCACCTGGGCTTTCTTCTTGTGCCATACTGTGATTTTCTCTGTACTGTATATAGTCCTTCTTACTACGTGACCTTTAGGTAAGTGGGTAGGATGCTGGGCTAATGATCTTTTTAAAATCTTTTAATTCTGGCTCTGTAAGGGTATGCTGGCTGTCACTTTTCAGGGACCATGGAGATAAGAATCAAACATTTGACCCCAGCTAGGCACCGTACTGCATGCACAATCCCAGCCACTGCACAGGTTGAGCCGAGAAGAATGCAGATTTGAGGCCAGCCTGGAGAACTTATTGAGGCCTCATCAGAGAATAATTAAAAAGGCCTGGGCGTGTAGCTCAGCGTAGAGTGCCCCTGGGATGCATCCCCCCAGTAATGTTGGTGGGGGTGGGTGTCACATTAAAGACATCGGGAGAAAGAGGC